AGCTGCGTCCAGGCCGAGGCCCCATTTGCATTGTTTAACATACTTAGAAAATGAAGTGTTCATTTTTAACATTCCTCCCCCAGTTGGCCTAATGCTGAGTTACTGACGAGGCTAAGCAGAACCAGGTGCGGCTCCGCGGCCAGGACGCCCCCGCCCGCGCCATCGCCGCCCCAGGGGACGCGGAGCCAGGGCCAGCGAGGCCAAGGCGCACGGACCGCGAGCTCTTCCTCCGCCCTGCCCCGCGCGCCTCGGACATGCCGGGACTCAGAAGGTGGGTTCTGGGCGCCGGACCTCCCCTCCCCGGGGTCTGGACACCGTCTCCAAACCCGACGGGTGGAAAATGGCTGGGCTCGACCCAGGCGGGTCAGGATGCTGGGAAAGGGCTGGCCGGTGATGCAAGATGCTGCTGATTGTAACAAGCTGCGCCTGCAGTTTTCATCTCAGCCTTCCTCTGGAAGTGGGTACTTCTAACAGTTTCAGAAGTCGGCCTCGACAGAGGCTGCGGGAGGCCGGCGCCCGGTCCTTTCTTTCTGGAAAGGGCAGCCGCTTTGTGTGCCGGCTCGAAGGCTTTTTGTGCCTTTATTTAAACCCGGGAGACCCATGACTAGCTGACCCGCAGCCCCGCTGCAGCGTCGGCTTGACGTGCCCTATGTCTGTGTGGGACCCGCAGAGGGCATGGGACCCAGAAGTTTCCGGCCGGGGAGCAGCAGGGACTGCGGACAGAGCCTCATGTAAGCAAATGCTTTGCTGTTCTTTAAGGAAGTCGCAGCTCCAGTTAGGTCAGCTTCAGGCGTGAGGAGCTTTTCCAAGGTGACATCTGCACAGTCTGATTCAGCAAACGCTAGAAAGCGTAGCTGCTTTAAGGAGCATGTGTGCATGTTGAACGCCCAGCCAAACAGTGTCCCAGGCTGGGTCCAGCGCTTGCCTGACAGAAGGTCTCTGGCTCACCTGCACTTCAGGCAGGGGAACCCACCTGCTTTCGAATGTCCCTGGGGCAGTGAGCACCAGACCGCCTCCCTCCAGCACAGTGCTCCCTTAGCTGGCTCATTTGTGCGTTTCCTGGGGTTTTTGTGACAAGGTGCAGTTGTCCTTGGTGTTGACAGCAGCGGTGCTTGGCTTTGATTTCATTCCCAGGAAAGCCCCCTCTGTGGGCCTGGAACCTCTTGGCCCCCCAGGACCCAGCCTGGTTCTTCCGGGAGGCTGGGCTTCCGACCGGATTGTCCTGGGGCTGCCTCCAGCCCAGGGGCTGAGGGGGCTGGGATCCACCGCCTTCCACCAGCTCTGGAAGTCCTTGGTGATGCCGGCAGCTGTGGCTCCAATGTAAACGACACAGGGTTTTAGAACCACCTGATGGGAAGCTTCCTGAGAAGAAACAGGAAAACATTGAAATTTATGATACACACAGACTGGAACATAAATTTGTTATTGTTCTTTCATTCCTCCCAGATACAATGCTGGCCGCAGAAAATGTCAAGAGCCCTGGGATTTGGCTCTGTGCTTTCTGAGGTCCGAGCTCCAGGTTCTCGACCCTGGCTCTCGCAGGCCCTGGGATGATCCTGGGATGGGATGAGGGTTTGATTCTTGGGACCGGGGACTGGCTGAAGGGAGTGGGCTTGCGCCTCCCAGCATCCACCAGGTCTCTGCTCCTCTGCATGTATGTCACCTTGACTCCAGGTCTTCAGCACCCAGGGGCTGCTGACTCAGATGAGCACATGTCATGGGTGTGAGCTGTGCGACTGACCGAATTCTATTTTGATAAAGGGAAGGACTGTAATGTGGCGGTGCACATGGGCAGTCACAAGCCACTAAACCAGCCAGGTCCACTATCCTGTGGAGAAGGCTTTGCGATCGCCTCCTCCAGGAAGCCTTCCCTGACCTTTCTATCCCTAACCCAGCCCGGTCGTGATGGCAACCAGTGGGTATCTCTTTCTGTGCCCTCCCTGAAGTGTTCAGAAATTATCAGTCCACATGGCTCCCTGTTGGCCCTTGAGGGAAGTGGTCAGGTCACAGCCTAGCAGCTCTTCTGCCTAGCATCCACGCCTGCGAGCTGCTGTTGCTTAGTAAATTGCCCCTGAACTGAGTGACTATGCTATAAAGCTCTGCATGTGCAGATTCTATATTTTTTCTGCCTTACCCATTTCCAAGTGTCCAGTGTGTTCAGGACATTTGCCTTGCTGTGTAGCCAGTCTCCAGGGCTCTCACTCTCACACACCTACACCTCCTTGAGCCTTCCACAATCCCCGACCCCTCCCTGACCTGCAGCCATCATTCCACTTTCTGTCTGCGGGTTTGACTCTCCCAGGCATCTGATACAAGTGGCCTCATGCAGCATTTGTCCTTCTGACTGGCTTACTGCTTTCAGCAATGTCCTCAAGGCGCGTCCTTACTGCAGCATGTCAGAACCTCCCTCCTTTTTCAAGCTGAACAATATCCCCTTGTGTGTATAGACCACGTTTTGTTTATCCACTCCTCTTGCTGGACATGTGACTTGTGTTCCCTCTGGGCTGCTCTGATACGTACTGCTGTGCTTGTGGGTGTGCAGATGCCTGTTCCAGTCCTGGCTTTCCCTTCTCTCAGGTCTGTTCCTAGAAGTCGAGTGGCTGGGTCTTGAAAAGTTCCATGTGTGCTGTCCTGAGGAACCACCATATTGTCCTCCGTAGAGGCTGCGCCATGTGACTGCACAGGGTTTCAGTCTCTCCACATCCGCCCCTGCACTTCTTACTTTCTGTTGATTTTTTTTTAAATAGCCTGTATAGACTGTATGTGATTTTATTTCATTTATTTGAGTTGAAGTCTCACTCTGTCACCCAGGCTGCAGTGCAGTGGCGTGATCACAGCTCACTGCAGCCTCAACCTTCTAGGCTCAGGCGATCCTTCCACCTCAGTCTCCTGAGTAGATGGAACTACAAGAGGGCACCACCAAGTCCATATAATTTTTAAATTTTTTTATAGAGTTAAGTTCTCACTATGTTTTTCAGGATGGTCTCAAACTCCTGGACTCAGCAATGCTCCTCCCCAAGTGCTGGGATTACAGGTGTGAGCCACAGCATCCAGCAGATTTTGTATTCTTTTTTTTTGAGTTGGAGGTTTACTCTGTCACCCTGGCCGCTTCCGGCCACCGCAGCCTCGACCCACTGGGCTCCGGCGATCTTTCCACCTCAGCCTTCCGAGTAGCTGGAATTACAGGTGCGTGCTACGGACCCCGGCTGATTTTTTGATTTACTGTAGAGATGAGGTCTCGCTACCTAGGTGGGTCTCGAACCCGCGAGTTCAGGCAATTCACTCACTTCAGCCTCTCAAAGGCGCAGGATTACAGGCTAAGCCACCGAGCCCGGCTTTGATTTTATATTCTTAAAGCATGTCAGTGATCACGATTTCATTGCTGAAAGCCTGTGGGTGATGAGGGTGGAGTCACAGGCCTACAGAGGGCTCATGGCTCATGGGTGGCAGGACCGCCTGACCCCATTCCTGGGCTCCTCTGAAGTACTCCTGCCATATCCTTTGCTCTGGGCTGTGTGATCCCAGGGTCCTCCCCTGTCAGGACTGCTGGCGGCAGTTCCCACAACCCACATGCATGGGCTGTGTCAGGGATGGGCTCTCTAAGCTCCCCCATGGATGGGTGCTTTCATGCCTGCATGAGGACTTGGTGCCCTGGCCAGTTGAGCTCCAGTGACACCTCTCTCCTGTGCTGACATTCCTTACATTCCCACTCTGCTGCCCGTTGTTGAGGGTGTGATGACATACCCACTGTGTCATCATTTCAGAATAAAGACACTCAGGACACAGGCACATCTTGCACAAGTAGGTCACACTAAGGGACTGGCCTGTCCTACCGTGGTGGACTTTAGATCTCCCTGAGGGGCGTGGTGCTGCTGGGCTGGGGTGTTGGCGTCACCTGGGCCTCTCAAGCACACACCAGGTTGCCACCCATGGGCACAAGCAACTGGGGCCCCATATTCCCCAGGTCTGGATGTGCCTTGGGTATTTACATATGACCTCTCACCCCCACAGGATACTCACTGTGACCCTCTTGGCTCTCTGTCTTCCAAGCCCTGGGGATGCACAGGTAAGAGTTTCATTTTCTTCCTTCCTTCCTTCCTTCCTTCTTTTGAGTTGGATCTCCTTCCATCATCCAGGCTAGAGAGCAGTGGCACAATCACAGCTCACTGCAACCTCAACCTCCTGGGCTTAGGTGATCCTCCCTCTTCAGCCTCCTGAGTAGCTGGGACTACTGATGTGAGCCACCATGCCCAGCTAGTTTTTGAATTTTTTGTAGAGATGAGGCCTCATTATGTTTCCCAAACTAGTCTCAAACTCCTGGGCTCAGGCGATCCTCCCGCTTTGACCTCCCACAGCGCTGGGATTACAGGCAGGGACCATTGTGCCCAGCCAAGACTTTGATTCTTTAGAATTATTTAGAAGTGTATTAAAAACCAGGGTGAGGGAGCCCAGTCATGTGTCATGGAGCCTGAGGGTTGTGGGAGTGGAAGGGGCTTGACAGTTTGCTTCATTCTGCTCTTGGTCATGCAGAGGTTGCAGCAGAGGCCCAGGGAGGCTGGGACTTGCCTGGGCAATGTGATCTGTAAGTGACAGGGCTGAGCCAGAGTCCATGTCCCACCTTCAACCAGGTCTCCCTCACCCAGACGCTGCTATCTTGCTGTCTTCACGGCGGATCTCTGTGTCTTCTCAGTGCTGAGAAGGGAGACGTGCCCTGGGGTGCCTGTGTGTAGCCTGTGGATCTGTGTCCTCCATGTCCACAGTGCCTGCCGGGGGAGATGGGAGAAGAGGTGGGGACACCCTTGCACCCCGACACGCAGCACAGGGGACCCAATTCTGAGCCTCCAAGGAGGGTGATGGAGTGGGTGAGGGAGGCTGGGGCAGGGTCCTGGGGGGAGCCAACGGCATCCCGGCCTCTGGCAGCCCTGAGGAGTTAGGGCAGGTCCGTCCTGAAGCCCCCCTCCCCTATGACCACCCTGCTTCTCTGGCTTGGGACAGAGTGAGAAGCTGCCTCCACGGGGCTGAGGCCCAAGCAGAGGCGACTGTTCTCCCTTCCTATCAGGAATTCTGAAACAAAGACGAGCCACTGGGGTTGGGAGGATGTTGGGAAGAGAGACGAAGCCCTCTAGACCTCGAGGGACAGGAAGCCCCTGCCCCAGCCTTAAGCTGCACAGAGGGAGGTGGGTCAGCTGGGGGCCTTGCTTGTGTGTGGCTGCGCTTCTGGCCCTCCCTGTGTGCTGACACATGTGGCCCTATAGCTACTCAGAACCCAGTGTGCACCATCACCCACTTTGTGGATGGGTATACTAAGGCCAGTTCTGTGGCAAGTGGGGGCTGGAGTGAGAGTTGGGAGCCCAGGCCAGCGCTTGGTTGGAACCTGGGGCTCCTGGCCTCTCGAACCTTTTGGCACAGCCTCCTGCTCTGTCTCCCTCACCCCAAGGCCCTGGGAGGCTGGAACCTACTCCTGGGAGTGCAGGCCAAGTCCGCATCTCCACAGTCAGTCCGTCTGCGGAGGCAGACGTGAAAGCCAGACGCTGGACGCTCCTCCTGGGCTGGGTGTCATCAGATGTCGGCCTGTGTCATCCACCCCAGATGTGTTTCCAGGTGCACAGCCTGGTAGCTCAAGGTGCATGTGAGACCTACAGTCTCTGGGATGGTTGGATCTGTCTCCTTCTGGAAGCAACTTTGCATCATCTTCTTGTTGAGGTTCACATAGAATTGACCCGATTCTACCTTTCTTAGAAAACTGAGTGGATCTGCAGTATAGCCGTTACTGACTGTGTATGCTGACTGTGGAGTCAGGTGGAGGATGGGGGACAGAGACCTCATAGGAGGTGCTCTGAGGGAGAAGTTCCCAGAGCCTGGAGTCAAGTGAATTGTGGGGGGGGGGTAGAGACCTCACACCAGGTGCTCTGAGGGTGAGCTTCCCAGGGCCTGGAGTCAGGTGGAGGATGGGGCAGTGATAGAGACCTCACACAAGGTGCTCTGAAGGCGAGGTTCCCAGGACCTGGAGTCAGGTGGATTGTGGGAGGGTAGAGACCTCATACTAGATGCTCTGAGGGTGAGATTCCCAGGGCCTAGAGTCAGGTGGATTGTGGGGAGGGAGGTAGAGACCTCACACCAGATGCTCGGAGGACCAGGTTCCCAGGACCTGAGGGGCTGTCAAGTGCGAGAGCCATCCTGCCCTTCCCTGAAGGATGAGTGAGTGTGGGTGCCCCGTGTTGTGCACTTCACATGTGGCACTGATTCTTTCGTACTTTGGGTGTTAACCAGCCCTGTGGTTGTCTGCTGAACGTGAGCCCTGGGGCAGCAGTGCTGAGAGCTTAAAGAGGAGCTTGGCATCAAATAATTACAAGGAACATTTCAGGCCAGGGAAGTGGCTCATGCCTGTGTTCCCAGCTACTTGGAAGGCCAGGGCAGGAGGATCACTTGAGGCCAGGAATTCGAGACCAGTCAGGACAATATAGACAGACACCCTTTCTATTTTTTGAAAACTTTTAAAAGGGCACAACAAGGATTGTAATCCAGGTGTTGATATTATAGATACCCTTTTTGATCCCTCAGTTTCCCTAATCTTCTGTGATGCAACTATGACACTTTTATGATAAGAAAGAAGTACAGGCTGGGCATGGTGGCTCAGGCCTATAATCCCAGCACTTTGGGAGGCCGAGGTGAGAGGACTGTCTGAGCCCACAGGCTCGGGACCAGCCTGGACAACTTGGTGAGACTTCATCTCTACAATGAATCATAAAAATTAACCGAGCATGGTGGCACCTGTAGTTCCAGCTACCTGGAAGGCTGAGGTGGAAGGATCGCCTGAGCCCTGCAGGTCGAGGCTGCGGTGGCTGGGAGCATGCCACTGCACTGCAACCTGGGTGACAGGGTGAGACTCCCACTGAAAAAAAAGAAAAAAAGAAAAAGAAAGAAGTACATAGAATGACCTCGCGGTCTCTTCTCCCTCTGGCAGGCGCAGTGCACGAACGGCTTCGACCTGGACCGCCAGTCAGGACAGTGTCTAGGTACGAGTGTGGCGGGTCCATCCCCGGGTGGGCTCACTGGTAGCTGGGCTGGTTCTTCCCTGGCAGTGGCTCAGGGTGGTCAAATCTGTACTGGCTATGCCACAGAAGCACACGATGGTGACATTATGGATGCCCTTGTGCCTGGTCCTGGGTGGAGGCCGCCAGGCTTGAGAGGCAGATTTGTCCCCGGGAGCCAGCCTTCTGCATCAGTATCCCGGCCACTGCAGCACACACAGCCTACCCAGTGGCTTACAGTACACCCTTGTCGCCTCACAGTCCTGTAGGCCAGAGTCCAGGGGTTCACTACAGGACCGAGTTGTAGGGTCAGTGGGCCGGTCCCTTCCCAGCTTTCTAGGGGAGGCCACAGTTTCTGGCTTGGGTCAGAACTGGGCTCCTGTGGTCGGGACTGGGGTCCTGTTCCCAGCTGGCTGTCAGCAGAGGCCAGCTCCTCACACAGGCCTCGCTCCCAGCTGGCACCACTTCTTCTCCCAAGAGTCTATGCAGATGTCCACAGGCCTCAGATGTTTGGTCTCTTCCCCTGGGTTTCCAGGTCCTTCCACACTTCTGCCTGCAAGGATTCGTCAATGCACTGGCCTCCAAGATGGGCAGGATTTGCAGCCAGAATGCCAACTGCTACCTAGTTGCGCTGTGTCGTGTCACTGAACACAGCCACGGGCTCTGAGGGTCAGGAGGAGGACACTGTTGGGGGGCATTCTCTTAGCCGGCCATCTTGGGGGAAAGACCAAGCTGGAAATTATGAGCTTTGGGACAGGGTGGTAGGATATAGTAGTGGCCAAATGGGAGCGCTGGAATGGACCCTGCCAATCATGAGGAGAGAGAGTCGCCCTGGGTTCATGGTTGATAAAGACAGGGTGGATGGGGGTCACACTTGAATTGGGCTTGGAAGGACGAGTAGTGGCAATGACCTTCCAGGCAGAAGGAGCAGCATCACCACAGGCCAGGGTGGGAAGGAGGCTCAGAGCGTAGATGGGATGTGGCGGCTCCCCGCTCCTGAGGAGGTGTAGATGGTTGTTGGGATGGGGAGTAGGGGAGGGAGAGGGTATGGTGGTCCCGACCCCACATGATAAGTGTAGATGGGTGTGGAGATGAGGGCACCCCCCCCGCCGCCACTTTAGGAGGTGTAGATGGGTATAGGGATGAGGATTAGGGGAGGGAGGGGGTAGGGCTGTCTCCCACCTGAGGAGATGTAGACAGAACTGTGTTCCCTTCTCAGTGACATCTGAATCACTGCTTGTTGGCCCCCCAGAGGGTGCTTGGCTAGAAAGTCTTGGGTGAGAAGTAAACCATGTCCGGGGAAACCAGGTCCCCAGTGGAGATAGGCTGTTTTGTTCTGATCCCACTGACCCCTCTCCCAAAGTAGGACCTGGTGTGGGCTTCTCAGATAAGATGGGGTGAGTGCCAGGGGCAAGCCTCCTTCCCCAGCCTCCAGTCTCACTTGGAACTGACTCCAGGGTGCAGGCTTCCTTCCCCAGCCTCCCAGCCTTTGGTTCCATTTGAAGTTGACTGCAGGGTACAGGCCTCTCTTCCCCAGCCCTCCCAACTTTGGTTCTATTTGTAGCAGACTTAGGGTGCAGGCCTCTCTTCCCCTGCCTCCCAGCCTTTGGTCCCACTTGGAGTTGACTCCAGAGTGCAGGCCTTTTTTCCCAGCCTCCCAGCCTCTGGTCCCACTTGGAGCAGAGTTAGGGTGCAGGTCTCTCTTCCCCTGCCTCCCACCCTCTGGTCCCACTTGGAGTGGACTCCCCATGCAGGCCTCTCTTCCCTAGCCTCCCATCCTCTGATCCCATTTGGAGCAGACTCCAAGGCTGGTGATAAGTCAGTTTATGGAGCCAGGTCTGCCTCTTCCTGTGGCCAGAGTCCAGGCTCCATGTCCCTGCCCTGGTGAGGGTTTCTGGAGTCTGCATCTCCCTCCCAGGCATAACAGGCAGTGCCTGGCCTTATGGAAGTGGCCCTGTTGTCTACGGCTCTGCTTCCTTGACCAGCATCACCAGTGGCCAGGTGTGTCCTCCTTGCTACAGGGGTTCTTTCTCCCCAGCCGGCCATGGTTGAGATAGATGTGGGAGCGATTCTTAGGCCCACCCAGCAGTTCAGAGAGTGGTGGATACATGTAGCACTACCTGGCATGTTTTAGATGCTACACCCATGGGAAAACTCTTTTTTTTTTTTTTTGAGTTGAAGTCTTACTCCATTGCCCAAACTGGAGTGCAGTGGCATGATCATGGCTCACCGCAGCCTCAATGTTTTGGGCTCAGGCCACCTTTCTGCCTCAGTCTCCCGAGTAGCTGGGACTACAAGTGTGCACCACCATGCCCAGTCAAGTTTTAAAATTTTTTGTAGAGATAGGATCTTGCCATGTTGCCCAGGCTGGTCTCAAACTCTTGGGCTTAAGCAGTCCTCTTGCCTTGGCTTCACAAAGTACTGGGGCCACAGGCGTGAAGCTCTGCTCCTGGCCCTAACACTCTACTTTCATAGTTATGCATTTATTTTCACTGTTACCTTCTATTTATGCTAATTTCCATTGGCTGTAGTCATGTAAGACATGTAAGATTAGAAATATACATCTGTGTGGGTTTCAAATGTGGGTTTATTCAGGGAAGAGGTGTTAAACCAGTGATATTCAGGCTTGTGTGAGTCTGTTTTATTCTCTGTTGCTTATAACAGAATACCCAGGCCTGGGCCATTTCTAAGGAAGAGGCTTGTGTTTCCCTTTTCTGGGGACCAGAATCCAATGGTGAGGGGGGCTGTGTGTGGTGGTTACCTTGCCACTGGGCCTCTGTAGTCCTGAGGCGGTGCTGGCTCTTGGGTTCCTCTTTCCTCCTTAGAAGGCCCTAATGTTGCTCCCATGATAACCTGGTACTCTACTGATTCAAGAATGGATCGATGCATTCAGGAAGGCTGAGCCTCGTGACCTGATCACCTCTTAAAGGTCACCTGTCAACATGAAAGTATTAGGGTTACATTTCTTTTTATTCTCTCTTCCATTAAAAAAAAAAAAAGAGAGAGACAAGGCTCACCATGCTTCCCAGGCCGGTCTCTAACTGGGCTCAAGCAATCCTCCTGCTTCGGCCTCCCAGAGTGCTGGAATTACGGGCGGCATCAGCACATCCGGCTAATTTTTCTATGTTTTTTGTAGAACCAAGATCTCACTGTGTTTCCCTGGTTGATCTTGAACTCCTGGACTCATGTAGTCCTCCTGCCTCGGTCTCCTAAAGTGCTGGGATGACAGGCTTGAGCCACCACCACGGCTAGGTCTCAACATGCAATCTGGAGGAGACATGGGTGGATGTGGTCAAGACTGATGGTGACATCTGAAGGCTAACTTTCGGGCGATGCTGTTGCTGATCCATCCGGGAGCCAGCCTGGCATGATGAGCTCGGCCATCCTCGGCTCCCATGCTGGGTTCTGCTGAGGTGTGCGTGCCGTGGCTGGACACTCACATTCTTTGTGGCCTTCCAGATGTGGACGAGTGTCGCACCATCCCTGAGGCCTGCCGCGGAGACATGATGTGCGTGAACCAGAACGGTGGCTACCTGTGCGTCCCTCGTACCAACCCGGTGTACCGGGGGCCCTACTCGAACCCCTACTCGACGCCCTATGCAGGCCCATACCCTGCCGCCGCCCCGCCGCTGTCAGCTCCCAACTACCCCACCGTCTCCAGGCCGCTCGTGTGCCGCTTCGGGTACCAGATGGATGAAGGCAGCCAGTGTGTGGGTAAGTGGCCAGCCCTGCAGGGAGAGCACATGGGGTCATGCGACCCAGAGTGGGAGAGTGGCCCCTCTGCCCCAGGAGATGGCATCTGCTCCTATGATGCCCTGGGAGACGGTGACCACTCCCATGATGCCCTGGGAGATGGTAACTGCTCCCACGGTGCCTGGGAGATACAACCTACTCCCATGGTGCCCTGTGATGGATGGTGACCTGCTCCCATAGTGCCCCGGGAGACGGCGACCTACTCCTATGGTGCCCTGGTGAGGCAGTGACCCACTCCCATGATGCCCTGTTGGGGCAGTGACCTCTTTCCATGTTACCCCGGGGAGACACAACCACTCCCAAGGTGCCCTGAGAGATGCTGACCTGTTCCCACGATGCCCCAGGAGATGACCCACTCCCATGGTGCCCTGGGGGGGGTGGTGACCTGCTCCCGCAGTGCCCTGGGGAGATACAACCCACTCCCATGGTGTCCTGGGAGATGCGACCCCCTCCCAAGGTGCCCTGGTGGGGGGGTGATGACCTGCTCCCATAATGCCCAGGGAGATAGTGACCCATTCCCACAGCACCTTGGGAGATGGCAACCCACTCCCATTATGCCCTGGGAGATACGACCCACTCCTGTAATGCCCCAGGAGATGCAACACACTCCCAGGATGCCTCAGGAGACAGTGACAGCTCTCACAGTGTCTTGGGGGGGGTGGTGACCTGTTCCTGTGATGCCCCTGGGAGGCAGTGACCCATTCCCATAATGCCTTGGGAGCAGCAACTGCTCCCATAATGCCCCAGGGAGATGTAATCCACTCCCATGGTGCCCCCAGGATCAGTGATGTGTCCCCATGTACTGATTTCACTCCATGGCATCTCTGGCTCCCACTCAGGAGGTTATTTTGCTATTTCGTTCACTATTTCCAGAGCCAGTTTGATTTTCTCCTTTATTTCAATTTGCCTCTCAACCTCTCTACCTTTCTACATATCTGTCTCTATATCTTTCTGCCTATTTATCTGTAGATTCATTCACCTCCCTACCTGTCTGCCTATCATCTTTCTACCTGCCTGTCTGTGTCTAGCTACATGTCTATCTCCATCCACCCACCCATCGTCCATCCATCCACTTATCTCCCTCTCTCTACCTACTACCTATCTATAGATCTATCTACCTGCCTGTTGATCTATCTACCCGTCTATCTCTATCCACCCACTCATCTGTCTGCCTATCTCCCCCACCTCTACCTACCTATCTGTAGATCCATCTACCTGCCTACTAGTCTATCTCTGCCTATCGTCTTTCTACTGGCCTATCTGTATCTGTCTACCTATCTATAGCCATCCATCCATCCATCCACCTGTCTCTGCTTACCTTCTTTCTCCATCTGCCTACGTGTCTGTCTGTTCTTCTACCTACCCATCTATCTCTATCTACCTATCTCTGTATCTGTCTGTCTGTCTAACTACCTACCTACCTAACTCTCTTTCTCTCGCCTCACCCTCTCTCTCTTTAATAGAGGTGAGGTCACTCTTTGTTGCCCAGGCCGGTCTCAAACTCCTGGGCTCAAGCAATCCTCCCGCCTCGTCCTCCCAAAGAACTGGGACTATAGGCATGAGTCTAGAGTCCGGCCTTTTCTGTCTATCACCTCTCTGTTTAAAGGCCAAGCTCATATTTTCTCAGTTAAAAACCAGATGTATCTGGTTCACTTACTTAGTGAATCTCAGTGAGAGATCTAGCAAGGGAAACATGTACTACTCCTGAGATGGGACACCTTAGACAAGACCAGCTGCTCTGAAGAGAGTTTAGGGAACAAGTGTTCTTTTGGCCAAAAGAAGTCTCACAGATGGGGGTTCATGGCAAGTATGGACATTAGGGAAAAAGCAGCCTGTATGTGCTGTGAGCCCTGGAAGGACAGGCAGGGAGTGCCCTGGAGAGCTGGTTGCCTGCTGGCCAGTGCGTCCGTGAAGGGAGCTTCCAGGAGCGGAGCTTCCAGGATTCTCTAGGATCTGTTTGGCTGTGATGAGGCCAAAGCCAGTGACTGTCCCCAGATTTGGGGAAGGGCTGGAGTGAAGGCTCCACCCCACTTGCAAGATCTTTCTGAGCCTGGCCCCCTATCACATGGATGTTTATAAATCATATACACACTCTGGCATGCTGCATTGGCTATTGATATGGTTTGAGGAGTATAAAGTCTCTGTAGGAAATAGGACATTTAAAAGCTGGTCACGGTAGCACATGGCACTTGGGAGGCTCAGGTAGGAACATCCTTTAAGCTCAGGATTGGAGGCTGTAGTGGGCTATGATTGTGTCTGTGAATAACCACTGCACTCCATTCTGGGCAACACAGCAAGACCCCATCTCTTAAAAAATATATGTGAATTGAAGTTATAATATTTCCTTCCTAAACCCTAAAAGTCTGGGAGACGTTTGGCCTACCGAGGGACACTTGGGAGATGTGTGGTGTACCGAGGGACACTTCGGTTACATGTTTTGTCTACTGAGTGATGCTTGGGAGACACATGGTCTACCAAGTGACACTTGGGAGATGCTCGGTCTATAGAGTGACACTTGGGAGATACATGGTCTACTGAGTGACACTTGGAAGATGCTTGGTCTACCGAGTGATGCTTAGAAAACACTTGGTCTACTGAGTGACATTTGGGAGATGCTTGGTCTGAGTGGCATTTGGCAGATGCGTGGTCTACAGAGTGACATTTAGGAGATGTGTGGACTACAGAGTGACACTTGGAGATACGTGGTCTACCGAGTGAAGCTTGGGAGATGCTTGGTCTACAGAGTGACATTTGGTAGATACGTGATCTACTGAGTGACACTTGGGAGATGCGTGATCTACTGATTGACACCTGTGGGTCCTGTTTCAGAGCTCTGGAGTGCTGAGCTGTGACTGACTCAGAGAAACTGTGTTGGTTATTGATAATGTCTTCTCTGTGCTCATGCAAAGGAGTTTGTAGTTCATAAAGTATATGTAAATAATATGCAAATGAGTGTCCTTCAGGGCTACAGGGAAAATTCTTGATATGCCTGAACCTAAACTTTGGCATTCTTACTGATCTCAAGGGAGGGGGTGTAAATGTGGGAGGAAGGAGGCAGAGACAGAATGAGGGAATGAGAGCATAAGAGAGCAGAGCGAGAGAGTAAGGGGGGGAGAGAAGAGCGAGAGGGAGAGAATGAATGAAAGAGAAAGGGACAGAGAGTGAAAGAAGGAGGGAAAGGGGAGGAGAGTGGACCAGGGGGCAGAAGGGGAGAAGGGGAGAAAGAGACAGCGAAAGAGAGAAATGGAGACTAAGAGAGAGACTGAGAGAGACACAGAGATCAAGAGAGAGCGAGCATGGGGCGGAGCACATGAGCTGGTTTCTGCGTGCTGAGACCCAGGTGTCCGTGGAGGAGAGAGTGGCCCAGTCCTGCCATGTGCTCCCCAGCTTTGGTGACACGATGGCAGTCTCTCCCTATAACCAGCAGGACCTTGGACCATTATCATAGAAAGGGACTTTTCTCCATGTTTGTGTCACCTCCCCCCTTCTAGAGAGGGCCAGGGTCTCCAGCCAGTCAGGTTATTCCAGAGGTGGATACGGGTCCCATGCCCCATCCAAGATTACCCAGTTGTACCGTGTGACCTCTCACATAGCAGAAATGATTCCAGAAAAGAATGCTGAGGCAGAGGGGGTGCTGCTGTGTGCCGGTACCCAGGGGCTAGAAAGACCTATAGACCCTTGCCTCTCAAGGAGAGGAGGTGAGTGCAGAGGAAGGGGGTATGGTGGCTCCAGGGCTGGGGTGGGGCCGTGGGTGGGAGCCCCTGCTCTCTGAGGGCCAAGGGCCACCTCCCTCACCTTTCCAGGGACCCAGGGCGCTTTACAGCTAGGATATAACTGGGAGCCCTGTTCATCCCCTGAGCCCTCTGGCATCAGAGCTGTTTGTGGTTCTGAACCTGTCAGAGGCTGAACTCCCCCATAAAGGCCCTTTGTAAGAAGAACACAATCTAGGAACCCTGCGGGGCTGGCCCCAGACTGGCCATTTCCCAAAAGTTCACATTATGCATTCATAAGTCCCAGCTCTTCCTGAGCTCTCCTTGCTCCACCCCGGGTTTCCTGGCTCACAGAGGGCTGCTTGCTCCAGGCATTGTAAGAGGTGGCCTTGAGGGGATGGAGGGGCCGGAGGAGGCCTGGGGCAGGGAGGCCCTTGCCTTGGGGTTCCTTCCAGGAACTGGGGTGGGACAGCTTGGGCCTGGGAACAGGGGAAAGGGGGAAGGGGACAGAGGGCGAGGTTGCCAAGAAAAGACAGGAGGTGAGGCTGGAGTTGTTGCTGCTCAGGGTAGGAGAGTGCGGGTATTCTCTAAGTACAGTTCTGATCCCGTGTGAAGTCAGGGGGAGCTGGGAAACATCACTCAAGGCTCAGCCTTCTGGGAGAGGTGGGCGACATCTCCAAGTCTATTCTTCTCTTCATCAAAATAAAAAATCAACTGGGTGTGGTGGCTGATGCCTGTAATTCCAACATTTTGGGAGGCTGAGGCAGGAGTATGACTTGAGTTCAGGAGTTTGAGAGCAGCCTGGACAACATAGTGAAACCTCGTCTCTACAACATTAAAAAAATTAGCTGGACATGGTGGTGCATGCCAGTAGTGCCAGCTACTTGGGAGGCTGAGGCAGAAGGATCACCTGAGCCCAGGAGGTGGAGGCTGTGGTGAGCCATGATTGTGCCACTGTACTCCAGCCTGGGTGACAGAGAGCAGACCCCCAACTCAAAATAAATAAAAAATCGTGATCAGCAGTGACATCAACAGCAGAAGTAGCAATGATATTGAATGCTTGCATGGTGCTTGAAAGGGTAAACCGAGAGGAGGTGGGCTGGTGCCAGTACTGTGGGAATAATGCAAGATTGCAACCAAGTAGGAAGTAGAAGGAAGTAAAGTTCATCTTTCACCTTTCACAGATTGGAAAGGAGGCCAATACTCAGAGGCAAGTGTGGCATCGAAGGGCCTAGGACTGGGTATATGGCC